TATGTGTCCTGAGATAACAGCATTTGTTATATGTGAATTGTTCTTTGACAGGTTTTGACCGAATTATATGATACGAGTCAACGTTGAGGGTTTATTTCTCCAGCAACAAACCAATAACGCTCCTATGAGCGTTAACAGTGATGAAAGGCACAGATACACCACATTTCTTGACCTAAAAGCTGCAGTTGATACTGCCAATAGACAACTGATATTGTCCGAACTAGCCAAAATGGATATAGGAGGTAGGCTGTTACACTGGATAAGTGGTTACCTAACCAACAGAAGGGCTGCTGCACTGTTTCAGGGTTACAAAAGTGAAGTTAAAGATATGCAACTTGGCACCCATCAAGGTGGAGTACTTAACCCTACTTTGTTCAATGTTCTTATGAATGCAGTATTAAATTTAATACCAGACAACCCCAGCAATACCACAATCAGCTATGCTGATGATATTCTTATACATACTAAAACTCATCGTGAAAAGCAAACCACCCTGAGCCATGTATACGCAGCCTGTGAGAACCTCGGTCTTATTATCTCCACTGAGAAAACTAAGGTGATCAACACACAAGCTGGTAACCGCAAACGCGGCCCCGCCAAGTTCAAGATAGGTAACAACACTATTGACTATGTTTCTTCTTTTAAATATCTTGGTGTCTCCGTCCCTTGTACCTGACCTGCCATACAACAGCTAACCCGCCTCTTAGAAGTGGTGCTAATATTAGAATTGTTAAAACAATGTACCTAGGCTATATATGATCTCTGATAGATTACCACGCACCAGCCCTGGTCCTTCGTGACAGGAAAGGCGTTAACAAGCTCGAGAAAATGCAAAATAAAGCCCTCAGAATTATCCTAGGATGTCCCATGAGCACTAAAGTACTTAATATGAGGAAAGAACTAGGTACACCCAGTGTCAAAGATAGAATAATTGAAGTAATCCTGATAATATTGTTTCCTTAAAATTGCTAGAATGTATGAACCATGGGACTGTTGAGTCTAAATGGATCCAAACTACAGCTACACACATGAAGATGTTTGGACTAGACGACCTGCAACCCTGGCGGATATCACAATACTGACATATCCGCCTAAAAAATTAATTATACAAAGTATTTATCTCCAACACACTGCCAAAGTGGGGGCTCTTGAACACATACACACTCTATTGACTGATGATAATATCAAACAGACCATCTACACTGATGGATCTCTAAACACCGCCTGTGGGAGGGCTGGAAGTGCTATTGTTGTGACTCAACCTGACGGTAATTTAATTGAGAAAGGAGTTAGAATTAACAACTGGGCACCCACTCTACAAACTGAATTAGTTGCCATGCTCACAGCTATTAAATTCATTGAAACCACGGTCACTGACAGTTTCATCATCACTGACTCTCTATCCTCATTACTTGCCCATGACACCCTCAACTAAAGTTGTCACGCTCTTGTCTCTGAAGCCAGACACAAATATGCGTACCTTGTTGACCGAGGTGTCAAGGTCACACTGTTGTGGTCCCCTCTTACATAGGCCTCATATAACATAACAGAGTTGATGCCCTCGCCAAACTCGCGTCTAACCAAGACACCGTTGAATACAATTTGGGTTGGTCAAAAAGAACCCTTAAAACTGTAATTAAGAAAGAACTTATTGGTGAATTAGACACAAGTAGACTACTGCAAACAGGCGCTAGTCGATCCATAGTTTACCATGATGAGATGTATCGAGTGAAACATGTATATGGAGCAAGTAACAAGATCACTAGATTAAAAGATGTTGTAACCGATATATTAAGGTTAGGATACAACTACCACTGGCAGTATGTTCCTCAAGCAGATGTAAACAAGTCTAAATGTAAAGTATGTGGCCAGACATATAGCCACACACTTGAACAACTATGTCCTCGACTGTGTGAAGATAGAACCTTTTAGGGATAGGTCCAAGCACACTGTGTGTGAAATGGCACAACACTTCGTCTCTAATGGCAAGATAGCCGACATATTAAGATTGTATCTACTTTTTTGCACTTAGCAGAAACGCCTACCTCCGGCCGGCTCATTCGCTAGGCCACGGTAGGACGCCACCCTCCGGGAGGCTCCATATTGTCTCACTGTTCAGTCCCCAAAACTTCTTCCATCAATAGTTCATTAACGGTGTATGTAAGTTCCACCATGTTTTTCACTACAACTGTACAGCAAAGTATATTTTTTAGCATTAAACTGTTATCATTTTATTGTCTAATCATCACTACATATAACAACACCCATCATCACTACATATAACATCATCCATCATCACTACATATAACACCATCCATCATCATTACATATAGCACCATCCATCATCACTACATATAGCACCACCATCACTACCATCACTACTACCACCATCATCACTACCACCACTACTACCACCATCATCATTACCACCACCATCATTATCACTACTATCAACCAGTCTCTACCACCACCACTATCACCACAAGCATGCCACTATCACCAACACCACCACTACCACTGTTACTACCACCGTCACCACCACCACTACATATAACAACATCCATCATCACTACATATGACACCACCCATCATCACTACAAATAACAACATCCATCATCACTACATATAACACCATACATCATCACTACATATAACACCATCCATCATCACTACAGATCGGTAAAGTAGTTTCCGAGATTCTCGTGCGAACAGGCAAACAAACAAACCCACCCACAAACAGACGGGCGGCTCATTCGCTAGGCCACGGTAGGACGCCACCCTCCGGGAGGCTCAACATTGTCTCACTGTTCAGTCCCCAAAACTTCTTCTTCCATCAATAGTTCATTAACGGTGTATGTAAGTTCCACCACGTTTTTCACTACAACGGTAGAGCAAAGTATATTTTTTTAGCATTAAACTGTTATTATTTTATTGTCTAATCATCACTACATATAACACCACCCATCATCACTACATATAACACCATCCATCATCACTACATATAACACCACCCATCATCACTACATATAACAACATCCATCATCACTACATATAACACCATCCATCATCACTACATATAACACCATCCATCATCACTACTTAAAACACCATCAATCATCACTACATATAACACCATCCATCATCACTACAGATGGGTGAAGTAGTTTTCGAGATTCTCGTGCGGACACACACACACACACAAACACACACACAAACACACAGACATTCTTCTTTGTTTTATATATATAGATATATATATAAATATAAAATATAATAATGGAAGCCCCTCGAGATCGAGAATGGCCGGCCCAAGGGCCTCCTTGGCGTGAATTTGTTAAGATGTAGAAGCTGTTGCCAACACAACAACCACACCCTACGTTAACGAGCTGCATGACCGAGTGTCAAGGAATAGTCCGAGAAAAATGGATAGCTCGCCAACAGCACTGGCTAATCATTACCCCGGAATACGATCCGCAAATCGATTAGCATCCAGGTTCCTAATTACTGCTGGGTAGACAGAGGCAAATGGAGTAAAGAAACTTAAGAACATAAGAACATAAGAAAATAAGGAATCTGCAATAGGCCGGTTGGGCTGTGCATGGCAGCTTCTGTCGAGAGTTACTACCACTCTCTATTTTCCATGAATCTATCTACCCTCCTTTTAAAACTCTCCAGCGTTCCAGCACTTACTGCAAAGTTGCTAAGCTTGTTCCACTCGTCCACCACCCTATTTGTGAACCAGTTCCTTCCTATCTCCCTCCTAAACCTAAACTTATCCAACTTATATCCGTTGCTACGCGTCCTATCCTGCTCGGATATTATAAGAACTTTATCTATATCACCTTTATTGATTCCTTTCACCCACTTAAATACTTCTATCATATCTCCCAGCACTCTTCGTCGTTCTAGGGAATGCAAGTTTAGCTTCTATAACCTATTTTGATATGGAAGGTTTCTAATCCCGGAATCATTTTCGTCATTCTATAATAAGGGCACCACAACTGAACCGCATAATGGAGGTGCGGCCTGACTAACGCAAGATATAGTTGCAATAAGACCTCTGCACTCTTATTACTTACACTTCTAGATATAAAACCTAATACTCTGTTTGCCTTATTTCGAACATTAACGCAAAGTTTTCTAGGCTGTAGGTCCGGGCATACAAGTACCCCTAAGTCTCTTTCACAAGTCGACCTTTCTAGGTTGATGTTGTTAAGGCTGTATACGTTGACAGTATTTGTTCTACCAATATTAAGTACGCTGCACTTGCTGGTGTTGAATTTCATTTGCCATTTCTCTGACCACTCCTGTAGTTTATTTAAATCCTCATGTAGTGCATTTGCATCCTGCCCTGAATTAATCTGCCGCCCTATTTTGGTGTCATCCGCAAACTTGCTTATGTCACTGTTGATCCCAGTATCTAGATCGTTTATATAGATTATGAACAAGAGTACGCCCAGTACTGACCCATGGGGAACCCCACTGGATACCCATCCCCACTCAGATTTAACACCATCTACGCTGACCCTCTGTGTTCTATCGTTGAGCCACGATTTTACCCAATTTAAAATGTTCCCCCTCGATACCATGAGCATTAATTTTTCTAAGAAGCCTCTGATGTGGTACTCTGTCAAACGCTTTGCTAAAGTCCAAGTAAATAACATCGTAATTATCGTCATTATCTACTACCTCGAAGACTTTCCTAAAAAATGTCAGCAGATTTGTTAGACAAGAGTCGTAGATTAATTTGCTTTTCTCTAAATGCGATCGAATGTTATTTGCTATAATTGATTCAAGAAATTTCCCCACTACTGACGTCAAACTAATCGGCCGGTAATTTGAATATGGGTACTACATTTGCCTGTTTCCACAAGTCTGGCACAACTCCCGTGTCTAATGATTTTGTAAATAAATATATTGTGTGTGTGTGTGTGTGTTTGCCAACCAACAGACACCAGCAGTCCACTATCATGAGAGAGGAAGGCATAGTATAGACTCACCGAGAATCCTGAGGAGAAAGCCTAAGAAGTAAGCGGCGATGGAGCCATAGGTGTTTACTCGGGCTGGGGCGTGGACTGCCAGGGTCAATTGCGGGAACAGCATCACGTACACCAGGTCCCCGCACAAGTAGCTAGAGGAGGATGGAGAGTCACTACACAAACAGTAGGGGGTAAATATCCAGGTAATGGGGATTACTACGCAAGAAGTGGGAGAGAATATCTATCCAGGCAATGAATAAGGGAAAGGTCATCACGTATGATCTGTGAAGGAAGGATTATTACACAAGTCGTGGGGAAGCTTGATTGGTTAATTGATGGGTATATAGTACATTATGGCATCGTCACAGTGTTTACTATTTACTAACAGTGTAACATAAAACTTCAGGTAAAATAAATACATATAGTCGTAAATATGAACTTAAAATTGAGACATCTGCTCCGAGAACAAAGGATAATTAGTAGTTTTATCCCATCCCCGAGTCCTGGTGGGATGCTGCTCCTAAGGTCCCTCAGGTTACGAGACTCGGCTAGAAAGTGCTTTATAGTCAAGGATGTGGCTATCAGGCCATCAGAGGCCTTGTGTTAGCCTTGAGTGACTATGGCAATCTCCCACCTCCGTGGCATTACGGGATATGTCCACGGCCGTAATTATAATTTCCAGGAGCTTGTTTGAGTCAGTAGTGGCATCCAGACAGTCCTGCCAGGCATTAAAAACAGTCCTATCCGTTTTGGTTTTCGAAAGGGATATCTGAAACTGGAAGGAAAAAATTTGGACCACCATCAATGAACTCCTTCATGAGTTTCCACCTAGGTGTGCTCCAGCAGTACAGCATATGTTGTTGGAATATAGTTGAATTATTTATATTTATTCCTGAAAAGTAACCTTAGTTAATTATTCGTGTTGTGGAACAGTATTTGTCCAGTCATACATCCAGATATGATGGTACGTCTGACAGAGCGCTGATTGCGTCAGTCGTGTCCGGTTAAGCATTTCACGTTGCTGTTAAAGTGATACATTGTGTGTTGTTATGTGTCTAAACTTAGTTCCTGTTACAAACGCTACCCACAACAACTCTGAAAGGACAACAGCATCTGTGTCTGCGGTGTGGATGATCACATACCTGTAGACACACTTTGTAACATTAATGACATGGACCATCATTCGAGGAATATATCGCGGTTGTGAGACCTCTATACTCTTGTTAACCTGCTTCCCTCCCCTGTGTGCTGTGGCAGATGACTTCCTGACATCTGGATCAAACGTGTGAACAACTCCGGTGTACACTCTTCTCCTCCTGTTGCCACGCGTGTTATTTAAGCTTTCCAGATTTGTAAACTTCCTAGACAATGTCTATACGTTGTCTTCTATTAACCAGGGACATAATGTACACAGCAAATTCGGTTATACAATACTACCTGAATATTGGTGAAGTCTGCAGCTTCAAATTATTAATTACTTATTAATTATAACAACATCAGCGTAGGAAAGACGCTGAATATTGTCTTATTCGTACGACAATACCTAATCTAAGCAGTTAACCATGTCTGCCTTTGTCCAAGTGCTCAATTTTCCATGATGTGTCAACAACAGTGGACATCTAGATTCAAATGCGAGAAGAATATCTCAAGATTACCGTGTACCACATGTCAACTGATAGATGACAAATCAACTACACTCCAGAGAACTGTGGCATCTCCCTGAAGTACAGTATCTAGGATTAAAACTGTTGTGTATCTGGTGTCATTCCAAAAAGGCGGATTGTTACATCTTGGTCAGAATTCCGAGAGGTTTGGTGCAATCGAGGGAGGGGGGGGGGTGGAAGGGGGTGTCATGTAGGGGAACCAGCGTCGAGGAGGGGTATAAGTGTCGAGAAGGGGTACCAGTGTCGGAGAGGGGTACCAGTGTCGGGGAGGGGTACCAGTGTCGGAGAGGGGTAAAAGTGTCTGGGTGATAGACCGGCTGGCACTGGCAGTGAACGGACGTGTAGGGAAGAGCTCCTGGAAATACGGAGATTCCTGGGCCCCGTCGGGCCGTACTGCCCTGATTCTTGTCATTCCCTATGGGGGATCAACTGGGACTCAAGAATTACGCACTAAAAATTCCTGATCGAAGCATCACATAGGGAAATAACAGTATTCTCTACTGTTTAAGCCGGCCGGGCTCCTTGGCCCAGTGTGTGTGAGGGGAGCTGCCGTAGGCCTATGGGTCAGTGGCTGCTCCGCCTGAACCCCTCAGCCGCATACCACCACGCTCAGCCAGTGCCATGCTGCCAAACGGTGAGACAAAACCACAATCACACACTTGTACACCATTTCAAATATGAATCTTAACCTGCTCTTTTCGCCATACCCAACTGCTTTTCTTGGGAGTGAACTGCCCTTGTGGTCTTTAAAACCTTCAACCAAGACAGTGGGGCAACTGATATTCCGGCCCTCTTTCTTGCCGGCATAGGGAAGATAGGAGTGACAGTGCTATACACATAACCTTCGCCGATCTATCGTGCTTCGCTCAAAGAAGCAAAAATGACTGTCAAAGCGAAAATACTAATCACAGACCAGAGTCCACCTGACAAGTTTGCCAAGCGGAAGCTGACAGAAATTGTTAGCAAACACATGGTCAGGTATCAGAACGTAATAGTAGCAAACAAGTGATCGTGGGGACTTCGTGCCCGGTGGCGGGTCCGGTGGTACAGTTTACCGAGGTTGTTATAATCATGGTCGTGGTTGTTATAATCATGGTCGTGGTTGTTATAATCATGGTCGTGGTTGTTATAATCATAGTCGTGGTTGTTATAATCATGGTTGTGGTTGTTATAATCATGGTTGTGGTTGTTATAATCATGGTCGTGGTTGTTATAATCATGGTCGTGGCTGTTGTAATCATGGTCGTGGTCGTGATACTTACAGTATCTAATATACTATAAGAAGGAATGGAATAAAGGTTAGAATAATTAATTAAAGAAATATTCGACATAAAGAGAGGTTAAAATCATAAAAAAAAATATTATGAATCACCGATGATCATTCCGAGATAAGTTATATTATGAAGAGAAGTGACCTTGATTCTCGTTATATTAGTCACCATCTGCTTAAGTCATCACCTGTGTTTAGTCATCATAGTCATCATCTACATTAGTCAGTTTTAGGCCCATCTCACATGACTGACCGACCATCGATGTTCTTTCCGCGCAAGGGTGTTAGTTTTCAATGCGTCTTATTATTTACGCTGGTGGATGTAAGACCTCCTACCCTCACTGACGCAGCTATGGTCAATTTAGTGTTATTCTTGTTTATAAATGCCCTCTAATCTGTCTCAAGTCTATCCGTCCTGTCTATTGCCATCCCAACTGTCTGCTCGTCTGCGTGGTGTTTGAATGTAAGCCCGTCTGTACGAATGTGAACCAGTCAGTCAGCTGTCTGTCTGTCATGTTAGTTGCCATATTGTCTATTTCTGCATGTATGAATCTGTCTATTTTTGTCAACTTCCTGTCTGTTTCACTGTCTATATTCACCCTGTGTCTATTGTAGTCATCTTCTCCATGCATTCCTGTTATTATCTTTTTATCTCTTCTCCTTTTCCACAGGAATACGTATACACTGTAGCTGTAAGATCGTCTGGCAACTTTGAAACTGCTGTGCATCCAGACACATGATGAAACTCAGCTCCCCCTTACCTGTTATCTCTAACTATTGTCTGTTTCCCCTTCTTTCTTCTATTTACTCATCTTCCTTCCTTTACTAATCCAAACAACATTAAAAAAAAAGTAGACTAAGAAAAAAAATGGGGGAGGAGGAGGAAGCCGTATGATAACTGCAATCGTCCAGCCGGCTGACAGCGTACAGCGACATCTGTTGCCAGCATAAATAAAATCGTAAATTAATGCGTTCCTAAAGAAAATATTGACATGGGACCAGGTTTGTTCCACTCTCCGAATTGTTTGCTATTTTTCCACGAAGTTTGATGAAAAACTATTGTGCCATTTCGCCTGCCCAGAACAGATACACGCACCCCTAGCGCTATAGTATATTAGATAACAAACGGCAGATGCTTCTACAATTATTTCTTTGAACAAGGCCCTGTAACCTCCAACGACCACCTACCTATAATCATGACTATTTCAGCAACACCAATAACTATACTTGCTCCACCACAGAGAATCGCCAAGCAGACCGACTGGGACCTATTCAATGAAAAAGCTACAGCCGAACTTAAGGCCAAGGACATGACAATCCTGCAGACCACAGACAACCAGCCGGTGAACAGAATAAACGAAGAAATCAATACATGGTGTGAAGCCATAGCAACAGCCTATCTGGAAGCCACGCCTCTCAAAAGCAACAGAACTCTCCCACACCCACAACAGACTCCAAAACTCATAGCCCTCACAAACCAATTCCAACTGCTACAACAGAGAGCCGAGACCCATGGTTGGGACATCGTAAGCTACAATATATACAGAAGAATTCGGGAGGAAATAAAATCAAGATCTCTGGAACAAAGCAACCTTAAATGGGCCGAAATAGTTGAACAACTCTCACATACATACAACGATGTCTAGTGCCTGTATCGACAGACACTAACTAACCCATGACACAACCCAAACACAATATTAGCTTAGCTAGGCGGTCAGCCCGCCCTCTCTTACCCCCTCCTAAATTTCTTCAATTTCCGAACTATAATTTCCTAACACCCACCTCTAATCTTCCTTCATACCTCATTTCTCTAAAAAAAAAAAAAAAAAAAAAAAATTAAGGACGGTCGGGTGACGGGCAAGTCGATGGGAATGATTGAAACCTGCCTTTTGACGCACTGAATATTTATTGATATGGTCAAAAACTTGCAGAGAACAAGGCGTTCATTAGTATGACATGGTGATCCACCTGATACATAATTAGTTAATCTCACATAATTTTATCTAAGCTACATAAGATCATTAAACATAGTGACATAATACAAAGTTCATAACTCTAATAATTTTAGTTACGTTTCATTCGGCATTCTCTTATTGCTCCAGATAAGGCAGAAACGAGAAGGTCTAATTGGTCCACAAAATATAGTACTGAGTGGGTACGTCATCACGCAGGCTGTACTTACAAGTGCAGGTCGATGTAAATTAGTATGGTGTTCCAA